CGGCGGGGCGGGCGGGGGAGCCGGTGCGTACGGGGCGGCGGGGAGGGCTCTCGGCCTCTTTCCCCGGTGCGACGCCCGCGCTTCTCTCTCTCTTCCCGCAGGGATCCTCAACTTCTGTGCCAATAACTACCTGGGGCTCTCCAGCCACCCCGAGGTGATCCGTGCTGCCGTGGAGGCCCTCGAGAAGTTCGGCGCCGGGCTCAGCTCCGTCCGCTTCATCTGTGGTACCCAGGTACCGGGCACTGGGGCAGCATCCCCTGCTCCAGGGTAGCCTTTCTCAGGGGCTCCGCTCAGGCTCCCGTCTCGGCACTCGCATGCGTGCGCAAGTGCTAAGGTACACGTGGCCGGGCAGAAAAAAAGTCTGGTGAGTCCCCCGCTAGCCAAAGATCTGGAAATACGCCAACTTAAACCATTACAACCCCTCAGAGAGCAAAGAAATTAAACACCCCTCTGAATTCAGAAGGTGAATGTCTTTTTTCCCTCCCTTAAGGGTCAAAATTACAGCGAGCCTGACTTGAAACGGCTCTGTCAAACCCACCCTGGTTTATCCCCGCTGGAGCCCTTTCAGAGCCCCGGCTGGTTAAGTGCAAAGAAAACTCAGAGCTGCTCCCCCGTGGGTGGGGAGCTTGGAGTCTCCCTGCTGCGCTTTTGGTGTCCAAACCCATAACCGCATTTTAGGGCCGCGTTTGCAAACACTTTCTGAACACAACTAACTTCTCCCACGCACACACACCTTTTCTGCATAAAACCTGGCTGTTTCCTCCCCTTGCGGTCAGCGTCTAACAGCAGTGGGCAAGCAAGAACTTGTGCTGCCCCACCGGTGACGCTCGCTCCTCTCTTCTTTTTAGAGCATACACAAGGACTTGGAGGAGAAGATCGCGCATTTCCACCAGCGGGAAGACGCCATTCTCTATGCCAGCTGCTTTGATGCCAACGCTGGTATCTTTGAGGTTCGTAGGGCTTTCCTTGTGCTGTGCGTGGAGGAGGGAGGTGACGGCGATGTGCTTGCTGTGCCTTCCAGAGGCTCTGATGTGAGCTCTGTGCCACAGAGAAGATAGCAGTGACTGGTGGTGGAGAACCGTGACTTGGTGCCCTTGGACTGGGGGAGCCATGCGGAGCTGTTTAATCAGCCCTCACCTCCCCCTTCCCCAGCCAGCTCCAGGTTTTGGGGAGGGCTCCCATTTCCGGGGAGGTCTGTACTCCCCCTTGAAGCGTAAGGCAGGGGGAAGGGGTGATCCCCCGGGCTTGCTAGGGAAGGGGAGGGAGGTTTTGAGCTCAGAAGCCTGGCATAAGGAGATTGGGGGATAAGGTGGCTGGGAAGGAAAGCGGAAAGTTTAGCGATGCCAGGAGAGACGTGGCAGCTGCAATCGAATGCAGCCTTGTCCTCCGCACTGAGATGCTGGAAGATCTTAGTGAGTCGTCACCCTGGAGCAAAGGAAGATCCTTTCTGTTTGGCACGGCCAGGCCCTGCTGACCCCAGAGGATGCGGTGCTGTCGGATGAGCTGAACCATGCCTCCATCATTGACGGGATCCGCCTGTGCAAGGCTAACAAGTACCGCTACAAGCACATGGACATGCAGGACCTGGAGGCCAAGCTGCAGGACGCGCAGGTACAGAGGTCTGCTCCCACCTCAACGTGAGGGTGCTTGCTTAGCTGTGCTGCCTACGCAGTAACCAGCCCCAAAGGGTGAGCTCTGTCTTTTCCTGTGCAATAGGCATCGTTTTTGCCGATAGGCACAGGTAGGCATGGATGGGCAAGGAGGGGAAGCAGCTGGTTGCAATGCAAACCCCCTGTCTCGGTTAGATATATCCACTCCCTACAGGAGTTGTACTATGTCCCGGTCTCCTTCGCCAGCCCCTCTCCTCAGGGTGACATCTTCACCCCTGGGGATGCCACTCTCCCTCCCACAGAAACATCGTCTGCGGCTGGTGGCCACCGACGGTGCCTTCTCCATGGATGGTGACATCGCACCCCTGCGGGAGATCTGCCAGCTGGCCCAGAAGTATGATGCCCTGGTCTTTGTTGACGAATGCCATGCCACAGGCTTCCTGGGACCCAATGGCCGGTAAGGGGCTCTTTTACCCCTGTTTCTCGCCCCCAACCCAAAGTACTTCTGAGGCAAGGCCAAAGGTGGTGATGGCCAATGTGTTTTTGTGTGGGGACTCCTGGAACCACCGTTTCTTGAAGGCTTCGCACCCCACCTCTGCCTCAGCCCTCCCCTCCTGATGATATATCCCTTTTGGGGCACCTGAGGTGATTGAAGGGAGATACTTTAGCACTGACCCATCCCAACGCAACAGACACTTCTCTGCGTGCAAGGGATGGCGTGACCATCTCATCTGCCTCTCCTGGCAAGCAGCTGGACTTCCTGATTTCCGAATCCTTCTCCTCTCAGCTATTATTTTGAAATGCTTGGGTCTGGGGGTTCTGTGGAGTTAGCTTGCACAGTTTGATAATTCCCTCGGAGCAGCTTTTTCCTCCATCCCCTGGAGATCCTCCAGGTGCTAAGCAGTGCACTTGCTGAGGTGCTTTGCTGAGAACAGACACTTCATGTGCTTGTTTTGTTCAGGCACGAGTGCCAAGCGCTCTGTTGCATGGTCCTTCCTGCTCT